GGGCCCCCCCCCAGGGCCCCCCCAGACAGTCCCGGTGCCCAGCCCGCCATGTAGGGACCCATCTGCACAGACCCCCCCCCCAGCACGGCCCCCGTGCCCGCCCCCCGTCTATGGAACCCGGGCACAGCCCGACGGGGCGAGGGCACGGCTCCGCTGCGCTCGTGGCTGTGGTTCACACCACACCAGCGAAGACCTACTTCTGCTGCCTGTACCGAGACCTCGCCGGAAAACCTCGGCCGAGCCCAGCGATTTGGCTTCCTGCGGGCTGGCAGCTGGGCCGCGCGGTGCCGGGGGCCCTTACCGACCCGTTTGCACAACAGAAAACAGCCCGACGGGGCGAGGGCACGGCTCCGCTGCGCTCGTGGCTGTGGTTCACACCACACCAGCGAAGACCTACTTCTGCTGCCTGTACCGAGACCTCGCCGGAAAACCTCGGCCGAGCCCAGCGATTTGGCTTCCTGCGGGCTGGCAGCTGGGCCGCGCGGTGCCGGGGGCCCTTACCGACCCGTTTGCACAACAGAAAGGGATGGCGACGGGGTTTTTGCAGGTGAAGCTGCTCCCCGCAGCCCCCAGGACGGAGCCGCCCTGGTTTGGGGCAGGACATGGGCTCCTCCTGTTTGCAGGGGACGTCCCCAAGGAGCAGCCAGCTCCTACCCATGGCGGCGTTCTGCTGCCGCGAGAGAACAGACCCCGGCTCGGCCGGGATGGTCCCCGGCACTGTGACCTTCCCCGTCCGGGTGCAGGGAGGTGCCGGGGCGCTGGGCAGCCTCGAGCAAGCGGCGCAGGGTCGCCGGCAGCGCCGTAGGAAGCGGTGGCGATTTCCTCACCGGCGTTGCCGGGCAGGAAGGGCCTCGCCGCGCCAAGGCGCCGCTCCTAGGCTGGCACCCGAACTGGCGGTGGGATCAGCTTCGCCTTCTCGAGGCCAAGGAAAACCCCGTGCCTCCACCGGTAAACTCAGGTGCCGGCTTAATGTGAAAGGTGCTGGTTCCTTTTCTTCCCTTGGCAGATTTAAATCCCTCCTTAATCTTTGCGAGGGCCTCAAGAGCGGGACAGACGCGCAGGCAGCACCGTCTCGGTGGCTTTGTGCCGCGGCGGCGTTCCCGGCGGCGCGCCATCCACGCATCTCTTTTGGGAAGTCTCTCTCCCCGTCCCCGTCCCCTGCCAGCTCCCGCAGGGGAAGGCTGTGGGAGCGTCTCCGGCAGCGGTGACAGATGGCACCGCGCGCCTGCTTCCCCGGCGAAGCCAAAACAAGAAGCGAGCCAGCGCGGCGGTGACAGGCGCTGAGCCCGTCTCGGAGCGGGACGGATCCTGATGCTCGGGCGGGTGAGAACAGACGGGACAGGCAGACGCCTGCCAGACGCCAGCTCGCGCTTTTCCTGCCACGCTTCCAGCCTCAACGCCCGCCGGGTCAGCATCCGAGCGCCGGAGGGTCCTGCAGGGCCCCGTTCAGCTCTTCCCGCTCATCCCGGCCCGGAAAGCCGCCAGGATTCGGGACCGTCTGTGCCGTGAGCTCTCCCAAGCAGCTCAGCGTACCCAAACCCAACCCCGGCGCCGCTGTCGGCGGGGGGCGCCCCCCCCCCCCCCAAAAACCACACCGCGAGGCTTGCAGCCCCCGCCTCGCCAAACAGCAACACCGCGAGCTTTGTAAATCTTCACTCAAGGGGCTTAACCCCCTCTCCAGCAGGGTCCTTGGGGCTAACAGAGCTGAAGAGGGGAGCGGAGCGCGGCTGCCTCCATCCCCCCGCACCGGGAGCGGGGCTGGGGAGGGCCCAGGACCCCGCCGGGTGCTGGTCCGGGGCAGAGGAGCAGAGCACAGCGCAGGGCAGAGCCGCTCGGCGTCTCAAACCCTCCCGTCCTTCAGCAAAGCGCTTAAAAATAGTCCGCACGCGCAGGGCGGCCGTCGGTAATCCCTCTCCTACAGCATCTTTTTATCCCGAGGCTGGGAGCAGGACGAGCCTCAAGAGGGGAGCAGCTGCTGGAGGAGATAACGGACTTCTGAGGCCCTTTGATTTTCTAATAATTTTTATTCAAAGACAGCGCGTTAATAGGGCTGGGCCGGCTTTGACACTGATGAATCAGCAAAGGCTCCAGCCGAGGACACAGGGCTCCAACACCCAAATCTCCTTCCAGCAGCCTCAGGAGAAAGCAGGGAGGGATTCGAGCAAGGAGCGGGGACTGAAGCAAGAGGGCACGACTGCAGCACCGCCTTCCACCGAGGGCTGGGGCACCGAGGCGAGCAGGGACGACGGCTTGAGGAGGAAAAATAAGATAAAAGCCTGGAGAAGCGGGACGCAGGAGCAAGGCCTGGGCAGGGACCGAGCGCTGCCCACGCTCCCCTTCCTTCGGCAGCTTTCAGCCACGGCGCAGCCATTTCAGGAACGAGGGGCTCAGCCGCCTTCCCCCGCTCTTGCTGCTTGGCGGAGAAGGTTGGGGCGCGAGGTGGCAGCCCTGGGCTGCGCCTACAACCCCCTCATCCCCAGAAAAGCCTTCAGATCTTCCCCTCTCCGCTTCCAGAGGTTTAAGTTGGCAGTTTATAAAGAGAAAAGTCTGTTCTTGGGCAAGGGGAGAAGAGGATGGAAGCCCCGCTCCCACGTTGCCAAAAATAAAATAAAAGCAAGGGTTTATCTTCTTCCAAGGCGGCTGTTCCAGACCTTCCCGCGTGGCTTTTCCAGGAGCTGCAGCCAACGCCGCGGCCAGGGCCGGTCCTGTGCCCCCCGCCTCCAGCCCCGCAGCTTGGGGGGGGGGGGAATAAAAAAAATTAAAAATTAGTCAGACCATCATCTTCAAATTAACAAACTGTAATTTTTCTCCAAAGATACATTTTCCATACACATCCATCATACACTGTAACAAAAAAAAGCAGTGTACATGAAATAAGAAAATAAATTAAATCCATAGCATAGGTAAGGAGGACGCTCTAGACTGGAGTAGAGTCGAAAGTTTCCAGCGATACAAGAGGCTCAAAAGTTTGTTTTACCAAGAATGCCTGCTAGCAAGGGTCCAGCAAGTGTTTTAGGTCAGTCCAACTGCTTAAACAGTTTTATTTAGAGTTTTTAACAGCCATTATTGTCCTGCAACAGGCAGAGCTATTACATCCTGGGAGAAAGCCAAGAGGCGTCGTTAAGATCCAAGTAGAGCATCCAGAGGATAACGGGATTGGTCCTGCAGCATCCGCGCTAGCCGTCCTCCTTGGGCGGTGTGTACCAGCCTGCAAGAAGAAGAGAGATCCGTGAGGGACGAAGCCGCACGGGGAACGCGACTCCGCGCCTGGAAACGCGAGGCTGGCGAAACTGCCGAAAGCAGCGGCGCAAACAACGCCAAGTCCCGCTTCCGAAGGGCCGCGTCTCCCAGATCACCGGGAGGTTTTCTCGCCGGGTGACTTCCCGACACCACCCGGACAACGACGCGCCGAAAAAGCCCAGCGCTGACCAGCGGGGAAGGGCAGAGGGATGCTGCAGCCACGCGCTCTACGGTAGAAGCAGCTGCCGTTGCCGGCTGTCGCCTCGCTCCAGGTGATCTCCGCACGTGGGGCAGGAAGAACTCGAGCAGCTCGGCTGGACGCTCGGCCTAGGGGAGCCCGGACTCGCGAGGGGAAACGCACGTCCCTTCCCTCAGCCCTTACCGTTCTTCTCGTGGATCTGAACCAGGGACTTGTAGGACTGCTGTGCTCTCGTCAGGCTGTACTGATTCTGCAAGGGAAGCCGGGGCGACCGTCAGCGCGGCTAGAACCCGGTGCGAGCCATCCCGCGCGCCTTCCCTACGCGAACCGCGCTGCCGCAGAGCTGGTTGCCCGCTCATCCGCCTCCATCCCGCTACCAACCGCTCCTCAAGTTCTCTTACGCTGACCGGGCCTTACCTTATTGGCTCCAAACTGGACTCGCGCTTTCCCTTTCACCAGAGTTGCGCTGATCTGCATAATCACCGACTCGATGGAGTATGCGCTGCTCCAGCCCTGAGGGACAGAGCGCAGCGTGAGGCCAGCGCGGACAGGACCCCCCCCACGACAAAAGAGCCTTCCCCGCGCCCGGCACGGGCATCGCAAAGCCGCGTCAGGCCGCTGCCAGCCGGGGCTACGGGCAGGATTCGGCTGCCGGCAGGAACGCAAAGCGCGGCAGACGGCAGCGGCCACCCCAAGTCCACGCGGCGGCCGGTACCCACCTGTTTTGTAAGTAGCTCCATGCAGATGGCACCGCCACCCAGAACATACCTTGGGGAAGGAATCGGGCAAAGTTACGTCAGAGATGGACGCAGCCTCCCCCACCCGCTGCTCCAGAGATGAACCGTTTTCCCAGAGGAGATCTCAGATGGAAAAAAATCCACCAAAAAAACCCCTTCCACCGTCCCTCTCTACGCTTCCCGGGAGAGCTACTGCAAACTCCTGGCAGGGGGGTTACGGGAATGGGCAGCGCTGGATAAACTCTTTGTGAAAACTGCTGCGGGAAGCAGTGCTGGAGAGCTCAGGGAGCAGAGAGAGGCCAAGAGTTACTCACCCCCCTGACAGCACCGGGGACACGACCCTTACGAACGGTGGATCAAAAGGAAAGTTATCCTGGAAGAAGAGAAGGGAAGCAAAGCCGTTGAGAAACGTCTTCCCTGGTGACTCACTGAGGCAGGCGTATCTCGAGGAGGGGGAGGTATGGGAAAGCCTTACTTTAAAGGAGAAGTTGAGGAGGATGAAATCTGTTCCTTCTTTCTCTTTGAGGATCTGGAGATCATTGTGCAAAGCGCTATCCTCGTCAACCCTGCCAAAGGCAAAAGCCCAGAGGGTCAGAGGCAAGGTCGTGCACCTCAAATCAGCCGCGCTCACTGCCGCCGAACCCCGGAGCTACCGTACCTGCGCAACCTGGCTGCCACGTGGGCCCTCGGGTTCTCACCCAGAGGGCAGTGACAGCACGGGCTGTCAGCATTCTGCTCCCGGTTTGCAGAGAAGACCATCACACCCTTTTTGCCTGCTGCCAGCTTAAAAATAAAGACTGCCTGGCCCAAGGAAAAGGCAGCACTGGTGTCTGGAGGGTGTGAAAGCTCGGGGTTTTGTCTGATGCACCTCTTCCAGGACTCTAGGAACAGCAGACAGACTGGCAGAGCCCTCAGATTATCTCATCTTTCTCTGGAGATGTCATCTCCTTTCTGATGTGGAGACAGCAAGCACGCTGCCCGAGAGAGGCTAACCCAAGGTCTGCCAGGTGCTCCCCTGCCCTGCTCGCTTCCCCCCCCGGCTCACGGGGACGTTTTGGTCCCACCACCAAGATCCACCACAGTTGCATGATCCCCGGGCACCTACTTCAGGAGTTTGACGTTCCAATCGTACAGGCTGTCGTTCACTAGTTCAACTGCATAGTATCCTGCGAGGCAGAGAAGAGGCGTGTCGTTACGGGGCGAGGCTGAAGAGGGGGGCGAGCTGCCACCCAGATTTCAAATCCCCCTTGGCCCTGCAGCACCACCTCAGCCTGGCACAGACCCCTCCGAAAAGCAGCACTTAGCCAGCAGGACCATCCCGACGGCAGCGGTTTTCCTACGATTGCTCTTTTCCAAGTCATTGGGCTCAGGAAAAAGGGGGTAGGAGCACCATCACCCTCAAAGCCAGATAATCCTCCCACCCACAGCGCTCTCCTTGCTTCCATCCAGCACTGGCACGGAACAGAGACAGCACGGCGGTTCTGCTCACTCTTGACAGAGCCACAGCCACCGAAGGCTGGAGATCCTCTCCCCAGCTGAGCAGAGAATAGCTCTACGGCCCATTAGGCGCCACCCGGAACGACAAGGAAAACCCCGGCACGAACAGCGGAGCAGCAGCCCCCTCCCTCGCGCTCCCCGCGGTACTTACCGCCCTTGAAACTTGGTGATCGGTAAATATCCCTGAGCTCCTTCATTAGCCGGTCGGTGGCCTGCACAGACCCAGATACTGCACCCTACGAGGAATTTGGGAGGAGAAAAGTTGCGTTGTTACACTGCACCCGCCACGGCTGCTGTTCTACAAGGGCAACGCCTGACCTACAACTCCCACCTGGCCTCTGAACTAGACCTTACCATGTCCCCCACCTCTCAGTCTTCCCCTTTCCCCCTACGGCAACTTCCCTTGCCCCAAATATGCCGCCCAAGGCAGCGCAGCTGCAGCAGAAACGCCTCCATGCCCTCTCAACTGCGTAAGAATCTCAGCCCAGGAGTTTAAAAGCACAAGCCACCAGCCACCTCCGCAGCCCAAAGCGAGGCGCAGCTCCTGGGAGCGGAGGGGAACCCCAGATCTCACCGCAGGAAGGCTGCCCCACGTAGCACCCACGCCTCGGGGGGGACCTGAGGCCCACGCTTACTTCCCCGAGCTGCAGAGGCAGTTCACAGACTCCTCTGCGTCGGCCACGCCAGCCCGGCAGAGCCAGCGCTGGACCTTTGGCCAGAGACCTCTGATTTAGGGCTAGCGGGTGCCTCCATCACTCTCGCCCTTGGGTCCCTCTGCTTCCCCAACCTGCCCGCCCGCCGGGCGACACGTACATTTAAGTAATCTTGCCTCTGGTTCTTTTTTATTTTCTCTAAAATGGCCAGGTTTTCCTTCCCAATGCCTTCATCCTCTGTCTTCTTCCCATCTGCTGGCTCTTCCTCTTTCATCTCATAGTGGTCCAAGTCCTCGGTGTCCTGGGAAGGGGAGAGGAGAGCTAGTAGGAGACGCGCCTTCACTCCTCCCTGCTCCGAGTACTGCAGACGGAAGCTGCCCTGAACCGGGAAGGATTCCCGGTGCAACTTTCCCTCCCAGGAAGCCCCAAGCCCAGATCCGAGGCACAAACGGGGCAGAAGACACAAGATCTGGGCACGCTCAGTGAAGAAGTTTCAGGCACCGGACCCCCACCGCCCTCCCGTACGAAAGCCAGCAGGCAGAGCGGCGCAATTCCCTTTCCAGCATTAAACTGGGCTCATCGAAGCTCTTCGTTTGCTGGATTCCTCCCTGCCAAGTCTCACGCCTGTTTATAATTAGCTGTTAATCTTACGTACGCTCCCCAACGAGCCCCACGTAACCGAAGGGCCCTTGCATCTCGGCACGCGCGTGGCTCAAGCGGCCCCGTGCCACGTCTCTGGACAAAGCGCAGGCACTCGGCGCAGCGCTGCTGGGCTGCGCTGCTCCCCCTTCACCAGCCAAAACCCAACAGGAACGCAGGTCGCCAGCAGCACAAAAAGAAGAAACCCTCGCGCACAAAATCCAGTGGCGTGAGACGTTTTCCCCTCAAAAAGAGGCGACGTTTCCCAGCGCGTCTGGAGGCTCTTTGTAGATCGGCTCAGCTCGCCCCCAATGCCCTTCCCAACCCCGGCAGAGGCTCTGCCCCTCATCCCTTTCCACAACAACACTCGTCAGGCTGATGTGCGCAAAACCCCGATGTTAATAACCAGTAAAAACCAGTCGCAGCCATCAGGGGCCACTGCAGAGATCTCTCCCCACACACAGCAGCTACCGCGCTCTGTCAGCGCGCAGGGTTCAGCCACCTGGAAGCCGCCTGCAAACGGCTGTGGGTACGCACAGCTCCGGCGCCAGTATAAATCCTCTGAACAAGTGTTTACTTCGGCCTCTGCAGGCTAGCTGCGGTTATTCTGGATGAGCAGCATTTTTGGAAGGGCTTTGACATTTTTAGACTGTCGCACAGGAAAATAGATCCTCCTAGAAAATCCCTCGAGTGGATTAACCTGCGTAATGCATCTCTGCACCGGGGCACGGCTCTGCTCTTCTGACACGGCCCAACAAATCCAACCGCTCCGCAAGAAACCTTTGCTCTACGCGAGAGCCTCGTCCCTGCACGACGACGCAGGGTGTTAGCAGAAAGCACGAGGGGGAACACTCCGTTCCCGAGGATTTCTTTTCCAGCCCGCAGGAGCGCGAGGCCTCACACATCACAAATTTGCCACGAAGCAGCGAGCCTGCAGCTAGGCGAGGTTATGCTGGTACCAGTTTAAGCCTCCTCATTTTCTCCAGGGACCCTGGCAAAGGCCGAGCCTTGATTTAGCAAGCTATTAACTTTGCTAAAACCCCAACAACTGCTAGGCGTGCTGCTGCTAAGTGACCTGCCCCCGGGTTCTGCGGTGCTGCTGACTCGGTGCCCGTGCCTCTCACACCCCGGGAGAAGCGTGCGAGGCATCGCTAAACATCACCATGGAGATTCAAGATTATTCCACCCACTTCTAGAGATCTCTAAACCGCAAACCAAACAACCAAAGCCTGTGGGTTTTGCAGCATGATATTCTCAGCCTGCAGTGAAGTATGGCTGCCTCTGCCGCTCCTGCCAATTAGGTCGCTCACATGCTCAGCCATCCTACCTAATCCTCTCTGCGGGACTCCCATTTTCACGGTGTGATTTCCCCGTTAGCAACGGCAACCCGGAAATCCCATCGCTCGTGAGGAAATTTCAGGCTCTAGAGCACAGCAGAGCGAGTCGAGAGAGAAAGTGTCCAAGGGGCTCCGCTCTCAGCTCGTCTGCGTGCTTTTGGAGGCCACGGCTACGCCTCTCGGCTGCTGCGGTCCCCTGAGGTTTGTGAACACATCGCTCCCGTCCGTGGCTCAGGACCTGGGTCCCCAGCAGCAAAACGCTGAGAACAACCGAGCCTTCGAACCAAACAGTGGCTCTTCCCCGTCTGGACGCCAGGAGCTCCTCCCAGACAGGATCCCTGTGCCCTCGCACCTTTCAGTGGGCATCTCCCTGTGCTCAGCTCTCCGGTGTACTTCCTCATACGGCGAGGCGGCACTTACCTCTGGCATCTCTTCATCTTCCTCTTCAGAGGACACCTCTTCCTGTGTGCTCTGCGGGGACAAAAGGACAGAGACCAAGATCGCACCCTTAGCTTCCTGGTGCAACACTCTCCTGCCTTCCTAGACGCCTCTGAGGCAAGGTTACACGGGGATTTATAAGCAGAACCAAGTTAAAAGCAGAGCAAAGCCAAAAACCTTCATAGGAAACTACACCAGAGCAGCTAAACAGCACCAAGGCCCAACGGAGCAGGCTGCCACCACCCAGGACAGGAATCCACCCCGGGGAGAGGAGATCACCACCTCGCCCGCTGCGTTCCTCCTTTGGGGGTTAGGAAGCCTCAGCCTCTACAGCAAACACCAGGGAACTCAATTTTATGAGCTTAGAAAGTCTCCTCCCGAGTCACTCACCTGTTCTGCCGGCAGAGGCTGGTCCAGCATTTCAACATCTGGATGTTGGGGGAGGTTGTAGAGTTTGCACAGGTCGGAGATTATTCGCTTCAGGTGCTGCAAAAGCTGTCCGGAGACCAGACAAGCGTCAGACAAGCGCAGAGACCCACGGGCCAAGCTAAGCCTCAGCCGTCCTCAGCGCTGCAACACTTTCCCTCGCAAGCGAAGGCCCAGAGGCCGCTCCTTCCTGCTCCAAGCAGCGGCGGACACGGGGGGGAAAACGACGCCCCAGCATCAAACTCAAGAGAAGTCAGAGCTGCTCATCCCAAATTTTCTGAACCCTTTGAGACCAGGGGCATCCCCGCCTCGGGCGGCTGGAGGCACGCAGCGGGGATTTCGCCCTCCCGAAGCAGCCAGGCTCTCGCCACCCCTCCCCTCTCCCCGGGCATCGCCCCCTCACCAGCGTGTTTCCTTTCCTGACTTCCACCAGCCTCTCCAGGATAGCTGCCAGGTTCGGATCGTCCGACTCCACAGACCATATCGGGGGAACAGCTGGATAAGACTCCTGGAGAGAAAGAGAAGGTGGTGTTTGAGCTGCCGCAATTGCCTCCATCCCAGCGACGCAGCCGGCGGGGAAGAGAGCAGCGAGCCAGGACCGGGAGCTGCAGCCCCACGTCTCCCGCAAACGGATCCCTCCAGACCGCAGAGGAACGGCCCGCGAGCGCCTGCGTCCACCCTCCAGGCTAATCCCAAGGGCGACTAGAACAAACTCCTGCTCCAAGCACGCTGATCTGGCTCGGCTCTGTGCCGCTTGCCCCCAGCCCAGGGGAGAGGGGTGGAGAACAGAGGGTGGGGACGTTTTGGCCACCCCTTTGGTCGCCGGGGCCTTTTGGGGGTGGGGGAAGCGGTTAAGGCAGGACAGCGAGGGCGTTTCGCGCTGCCCCGCGGGCCTCTTGCCTCGCCGGCTCTGGAGCAGAAGCGCTGCAGGAGAAGAATCAGGGGCGCACGACCCGACAGCACCCACGCAGGGGCAGAGGCCAAGCAGGCGCCTTTAACCCAGGCTCTGGCAACGCTCCCAAGTCGCCCCTCTGGAAAATCCTGGACACCGGCCCCGTTCGACGTCCGCACCGGGGGCTTTCCGTGCTCGGCTGCTCCTCGCCTGGAGCCGCGATACCAGCTGTAACTTGCCGTGCGAGATGGGATCTGCACCCCATTGCAAACCGACCCAGATCCGAGATCCCCTAAAATCCAGGCGAGGAGGAGCCAGAGGGGATGCGAAGAGCCGGACGCTGGCGCCGCGGGTACCCCCTCCTCCAGGCATCCCCGGTCAGGGCCACCTGGGAACCCCCCAAAACCCGGGATGAGCACGGAAAAGGGGGACCCGGAGCCTGGGATAAGGGACAGGAGCCCCGTGGAGCTCGGGGGCCCGGAGGCAGCTCCCCCCGCG